ATATCAGTCTAAAGTATTATCTTTTTTTTAAGTTTATTTATTTATTTTGAGAGAGACAGAGCACGTGTGCACGTGTGCATGCATACAAGTTGAGGAGGGGCAGAGAGAGGGAGAGAGGGAATCCCCAAAAGGCTCCATGCTGTCAGCACAGAGCCCAACATGGGCCTCGATCCCACAGTGAGATCATGACCTGAGCCAAAATCAAAAGTTGGACATTTTACCGACTGAACCATCCAGGCACGCACCCCTAAAGTATTACCTTTTCTTTTTATTAAATTTTTTTTTCAACGTTTTTTATTTATTTTGGGACAGAGAGAGACAGAGCATGAACGGGGCAGGGGCAGAGAGAGAGGGAGACACAGAATCGGAAACAGGCTCCAGGCTCCGAGCCATCAGCCCAGAGCCTGACGCCGGGCTCGAACTCCCGGACCGCGAGATCGTGACCTGGCTGAAGTCGGACGCTTAACCGACTGCGCCACCCAGGCACCCCAAGTATTACCTTTTCATTCCCAGTTTGTAAAAAACAAGCTTTTCTCTTCATTTATTATCTCTGCGTTCTCCCCTTTTTGATATTTGTTTTATATCCATATTATGAAGCCGATAGAAATACATAATATTCTTTTAACCTTATCATCACCGGTTGAACTCGGATTATCCCCAATTCTACTGTAAAATGCTCACCACCAAAACTGAGGCTGAATTTCTCCTATCATTTTCTGAAGCTTATTCTCTAGGAGATTCCTCAAGAAGGCTCTGGGAGCAATATTTCCTGTTCTTATCATGTTCATAAGTGTCTGTGTCTTTAAAACTTTTATACGTGAAAGGCAGTTAAACTACATCCTTAGCTTAAATTTTCCTTCTTTGAGTATCTTAAATAAGTTATTCAATTGCATTCTGGCAAAAATCTTTCTGTCAAAATATCCAGTGCCAGTCTTATTTTCTTTCCTCATGACTTACTGGGTCTTTTTGCCAAAATACTCTGACAGTGTTTTTCTTATATTTAAAGTCCAAGAGTTTTACCAGAGTATGTTTTGGTAGGGACCATTCTGGGCTGATTTTTCTGGAAAAATGATACGGTCCTTTGATACGTATACTCAAATTTCTACACATTTTAGGACAATTTTCTTGAATTACTTTTAAAGTAAATTCTTTATTTCGCAATAATTTTAATTGTATGGAAAATTCTGGAAGATAGCACAGAGAGTTTTCATATGTCTATTACCGAGTTTCCATCTTTTGTTATTATTGTACATACCATGGTACATTTGTCAAAAACAAGAACCAGTATTGTGATAGTTGGTGTTTTTCATGGAATCTGTCCATTTCATCTAAATTAGAAAATTTATTGGCATAATTGTTTAGGATGTTTCCTTTATCCATTTGATGTCTGTAGAATCTGTGGTAATACTCCTTTTTCATTTCTGATATTAATATTACTTGTCTTCTCCATTTATTTTCTGATTAGCTCGGATAGAGGGTTATTAACTTTATTGACTTTTGTAAATAATCAGCTTTTGGTTTTATTGATTTTTTATATTGTGTTTATTTTTTTATTTTATTGATTTCCACACTTTATAATTTTCTTTCTTCTGCTTGCTTTGGGTTTCATTTGTTCCTTTTTTTCTAGTTAATGTGGAAGCTTAGATAAATGAGACTTTATATCTTTTCAAGTATCAGCACTTAATGCTATAAATTTCCCCCCTTGTACTGGTCCAGCTACACTGCATACATTTTTTTGAATGTTTATTTATTTTTGAGAGAGAGAG